ATACATAATAACCACTGATAATCAATGTGGTTTTAAAAGTAAACATAGCACAGACTTAATATGCACTGAAGGAAGTTGTTAGTAAGTACAGGAGACATAACACTACAATAGTTATGTTTCCTGAATGCATCTAAAGCTTTTGACAGAATTAATCATTATGAATTGTTTGTCAAACTACAAGAGCGAAGGGTCCCTCCATATTTGATTAGGATTTTGCACTTTTAGTATTCACATCAAATCATGCTATCAAACCATCCTAGTGACCAATGGCGTCCGACAAGGTGGAATACTATCACCTGCTCTTTTTAATCTATATATGGATGATCTTTCTAAAAAGTTAAAAGAGTGTAAGACAGGATGTATGTTGGGGGAAAGTCTTATTAACCATCTGATGTACGTTGATGACTTAGTGGTCCTGTCTCCTTATAGCGCTGGTTTACAGCAATTGCTCAGAGTGCTGAGCATGGCGTGCAGTATGACATCAAATTCAACTCTAAAAAGAGTTTTATCATGATAGCTAAAACCAAGGAGGATCAGAAGCTACATTTTCCTTTGTTTTTTATGGGAGGCCAAGAGCTAAATGTGGTGCACAAAATGAAATATTTGGGTCACATCATCAGGAATGAGCTAAGTGATGATGACGATGTGCAGCGGCAGTGTTGCAAACTGTATGCACAAGCCAATATGCTGGCACGTAAATTTCATGTGTACAGAAGATGTTAAAACAGCTCTCTTTAGAGCCTACTGTACTCCACTGTATACAGCCCACCTGTGGTGCAGTTATAGTAAATCAAAAATTAAGAAGATTCAGGTGGCATTTAATGATGCTTTCAGAAGCACAAGCTTCCAAGATGGACAAGTGCAAGTCATATGTTTGTGAGTCGTAATGTTCTCACCTTCCATGCTGTGTTGAGGAATTGTATCTACATATTTAAATGTCGGTTAAATGACTCAGAAAATGTAATTATAAAAGCCTTAACTGATCCAACACAAGGTGATACAAGGTATTCTTCTTGTTTCTGGAAACATTGGAACAAATGTCTGTATGTTTTTAACAACGAGTGACTTTTTTAACTACAATGATTATACCTGTGTCTTGATGTCCTCATATTGAATTGTATTGTATTTTATATATTGTTGTTGTATTTGTGTTTGCTGCTATATGGAGTCATGAGTCTGAAATAAAAGTTGAATATATCTCCCATCATCAGTGCTTCAAGCCAGTGGCAAGATGAGGCCCCTGAAAGACGCCCAGCTGGGGGCCTTCACCTTCTTTGCCTCAGCTCTCCCTCATGATGTCTGTGGGAGCAATGGCCTCCCTCTCACTCCCAACTCCATCAAAATCCTGGGACGTTTCCAGGTCCTCAAAACCATCACTCACCCCAGACTCTGCCAGTATGTGGACATGTCCAGAGGGAAACACGGTACGACTCTTCTTACTTTATTGCATTTCATTTTATTATATATTTTGCCCTTTATGTGTACTCTCACTGAGCTTTTCCAAAACATTCCCGGGATTTTATTTGGGCAAACAAAGTAGAACAAAGTAGAATGCAAGTTTAGTTCCTGAGTTCCTCAAAAGGTTCTTGATCCCTTGGGAAAGTTCATGTTATGTTTTGTACTGCATTACTGTATATCATAGAGGTATCAAAAAACATAAATACATGACATGTATCTTTTAATCTTAAAAGTGTGTTTTCATCTTGCTCTACAGAACGGCTGATTGTTGTTGCTGAACACTTTGAAAGCAGTTTAAGTGACTTCCAAAAACAGGGGAAAACAGCCAGGTGAGATTTTTATTACAGTCTATGTGATGAACCCACTTAGTTTCCTACCTTCACTTTCACTGGTGAACCGTTATCAGTTAATTATTAAAATTGTATCTGACGGGCATGATGGAAATACTATGCATGGACCTTGCTATCTACTGGCTGAGGTTAGGTTTTCAAATTATAAACAGTGTATTTAAATTTCTAAATTTTAAGTGTTGAACATTTAGATAAATTGTTTGTTTTGACTTTTCTCTGACCCAGTCACCAATTGGTTTGACACCCTGTCGGGTATTTGTTTGTGTTAGCCCAGAGAAGGTGCTGCAGATAGCCTATGAGGTCCTTGAAGGTCTGGAGTTCATGAACAAACACGGTATGGTGCACAGAGCCCTCAGCGCACACAATGTGCTCATGGACTGCAAGGTAAAATTGTGCTGATTTTTGTATGTCTATCTTTAAGTGACTGAAAGTCTGTCCAATTAAAAGACAATGGAATGATTGCTTAATGTAACACTGTCACTGTAATATACTTTTCTTCATAGGGGAATGTCAAGCTGGCAAAGTTTGGCCTTTATCACATGACTGATCATGGAGCCGATGTAGATTTCCCCATAGGGTACGTCTTGTTCTCCTCATTCA